GTCCCACTCAAATACTATCCCCTAAAGCCTCTGACAGCAGCCTCCCTCCAACTGACTAGTTAGAGGGCTTCCTGATCCTTCCATTACCTGCTGTTATGGAAAAGCCTGACTGATCCCTCCCTCTTGGGGCCTTAGTTTCCCCATCTATAAATTATCTATGGTTCTGTTCCAAGCTGGGAGGCTGGCCAGCCTCCTCCATACACCTGTTTCCCCTGGGACACATTTTAATATCCCTTTTCTCACAGGGGATATAATGCCATCTTCCAGATGGACCAGCGAGGCTCTGAGGAGTGGGGGAACTTGCCCATGGGTACCACCACCTGTCATAGGCTAACAGGAGGCCAGAGGTCAGGCAACCAGGGAGACCAGCTGGGGATGCGCCTTCCAAAGGTAGGGGTAGGGACCAGGAGACGTGAAACCCGACTCCTCTTATATTCCCCACCGCACATTGGGGAAACTGAGACCCAGATCACCACCAGTTGGCCAGGGTCACCCAGCATCAGGCCTCAGACCACAGACTCGGCCTGCCCCCGGGAGCACGGGGTCTCCAGGCCCCCGGTCCCTACCCGGTCAGCAGCTCCTGGTCCACCTCCCCCACCTTGGCCTCCACCGCAGCCGCCGGGAAAGTTTAGAACAAAAGGCGCAGGGGGCGGAGCCTGGGCAGGCCGGGGGGTGGAGCGGAGGCTATAAGGGGCGGCGGCCCGGCGCGGCCCAGCAGGCCCAGCAGCCCCGGGGCGGATGGCTCGGGCCGCCTGGCTCCGCGGCGCCGCCCCGCGCGCCTTCCTGCTCCCGCTGCTGATGCTGCTGCTCCCGCCGCCGCCGCTGCTGGCCCGGGCCCCGCGGCCGCCGGTGAGTGCCCGCCGCCGGCCTGCCGCACCTCGCCCAGTGAGCGCCAGGCACGCGGGCTGGGCCCAGTGGTGGAGCTGGACCCACGGGGACGCCCGGGGTGGCCTGGAGCGGCCCGTTACCCAAAACGCTTACAGGGTCCCTGTGGGCGTGATAGATAGGGAGCTTCCCGTCCCTGGAGGTGTGCAAGTGGAGCCTGCGCGGGGATCGCTCAGGCTGGTGAGGAGGGGCTCCGCGCTAGACGCACGCCCCCTCCCAGCGTGGGGACCTGCCCCTCGGTGCCCCAGGTGCGGACTGGGATGTGTGCTGCGGAAGGTAGCAGAGGGAGTAGTTACAGGGTTCTCTATTCATGGCAGGGACAAAGCGAAGCTGGTGTCAGCCTCCAGGTGTGTGGCCTCAGTGAACACACCTCCAGGTGTGCAGTCGGCTGGAGGATTAAGGAAGAGCTGGGGAGGGCAGCAGCTGCGCTGTAGGAGGTGTCACAACCTCGGCATCTACAAGTGGCAAGTTTGGGAGGCATGGAACCAGTACAGCATGAGCATGAGAGCTACAGTGTGTGTGAGAAAATGAGAAAAAACTGGGGGCCAAAGGTGGGCAGTTGAGACCCTCAGAGACCAAGAGGGTGGGAGAGCAAGGAAAGGGAGAAAAATGTATGATCCGGAGAGAAGAGAGTCCAGTTGAGAAAGCAGCAGAATGAGGAGAGGAGGGATGGTCATGGGGTGTGACAGCCTGTGTGTGCCCTGAAGGCTGCATGCTCCACTTGAGCTGGTGGGGCTTTGAAGGACCAATCACAGGGACGGCCAGGCAGGGGCTGGGGTCAGAGCCTGAGCAACTGCAGGCCTACAGGCCCCTGGGAACTCAGCCCCACTGGCAGCTAAGGCATCCAGACAGCTCAGGTAGGGAGGGGACCCATTAGGAGGTGCGACGGGCAGGAGTTGTGGGACTGGTCCGGTGGGGAGGAAGATCTGACCAGGCTGGGCCCGTGGGTCCAGCCACCCCAGATCTGCTCTGGCCAGTCTTGCCCTGCGCTGGCAAGAGGAGCAGGAGGGGATAGGATGGGTGGGGTACGGTGGGTGGGGGCACCTCAGTCTGGAGGCTCTGCCTCTCCCCTAGCCCCTCCTGGTCCCCTAGAAATTGGGGCAGAGTCGGGAACCACTGTGGGTAGCAGCAGTTGAACGCATGGGTTCTGGAATTGGAGAAATCTGGGTTTGAACAACGTGACCCTAGGTGAGCTCTCTTGTACCTCAGAACCTCACCCCCAGTCTTGTCAGGAGTGAGTGGGAGATAGTGCCCACTGCTGGGCATTGAGGATTAAATGAGGAAATTTGAGGAGAGGCACAGCCAGGCACACTGGAGACATTCTGTCACCTGTAGCTGCCACTTTGACGTTTGTACAGGGTTAGTTGGGGCCGGGTCTGAGCTAGGCTGTTGTCTGCCGCTGCAGCTATGCAGAGAGCATTTGGGGTCGCCTCAGATGTGTTTATCCCCAGGCTGCTGTTGGCAGGGCTGGGAAAGCTCTGTGAATATTTATCCATCCCAGTTTGTAGCTTTCAGGTTTGATGAAAGCCCCGCAGCCCTTGGGACAAGATGAGCAGGAGAGGGATGGGAAGAGAAAGATTAGGCCACAGAGTGGGGTAGAAGATGGACCTGCCTGCTAAATGGCTGTGTGACTTGGGCAGGTGGCTTGGCCTCTCTGAGCCTCAGAGGGGCTTGATGCTGCATAGAATAGCATGACGATGCTCCCGTCTTCCTCACAGCCTAACAAAGTCCCCTCCTGTCAGGGTCACCTCCTACCAACAGCAGAAGACAACTATGATTAATTATCCCCCTTAGACCAATCAGCAAACTGAGGCTCAGAGAGGAGCACAATTAGCCTGGCCTTACCCAGCAGTTCCCTGTCTTTGGTCCTCCGTTAGCTCCCCTCTACCAGGTGCCTCTCATTTTCTTGATTGGACGTTGTTCCAGGGGCTGACTTTGATCCTGTAGCTCAGCTAGGATATCGAGTCAGCCGAGAAATTCCTCGAGGATGTTTGAGGCTGTGGTTTGGTGCCAGCCAGAAGAGGGAGGAATGAGTGAACTGCACACTCACCACAGGCAGGCCAAGGGAGGCTACTGGCTGAAGAGGAGGGATTGCACCAGAAGAAATGCTTCTCAGCAATGTGGGATTTGGAGATAGGCCGAGTGCCGAGGGGTGCAGGGAGAGCTCTTGGTGGGGAGGCATAAGCCCCAGGTCTAGGCCCAGCTCTTGCCTGAGTTGCTGTATTACTCTGGGCAAAGTTCTTGACCTCTCTGGGCTCTGGGAAATGCCTGCTTCCCGACTCGTTCCCCCCTCCCCGCCCCCCAGGCTGTAGATAAGGCCAGGTGTGTCTACACACTATCCCACCTCACAGAATCCCAGCAGCCCTGTGAGGACCAGTGCACCCATCTTAGGAATCAGCAGGCTGCCTTGTGCCAGGCCTTGCAGCTAGGGCATCTGGCCCCAAGCCAGGAAGGACTCNTGCGAGTTTAGGACGCTTTCCAGCCCTTCAGGAACTCGAGGTTTTTAATGGTCTTTTCTGAGTGACTTCACAGTGGTTATATTATTACCCTTGGGGCAGGGCCCCTGACTTCTTTACTGCAACCCCATGACCCTCCGTTGTGCCCACTGGAGGCCTCCCTTGTGGGGAGGGTGGAATCACCCAGAGCAAAAGCATGGTGTCCAAGGGGGGGAAAGGAGGCCCCCCTGTGAGGAGGGAGTAAGGGAAAGAGGGGAGGGGGCAAGGGGCCACACCTGGCACTCTCAGTTTTGTGTGTGAGAAGTGCTTCCAGCCATGGATACCTGCAAGTCACAAGCACTAATGTGTTCTTACCACACAATCCTCTCAGCCAGCCTGTGTAGCAGGGCCTTCCCCTGGCCCCTGTCTGGGCCTGGGCCTCAGTTTTCTCCTCTCTCAAGTCGGGGTGACCATCTACCTCCATGTGAGGTGAGCATGTGAAGGGAGGGCCATTCTCTCTTCACAGATATGCCAGGCTTAATTCAGCCTCTGTTTTGCTCGTGCAGTCCCTGCTCACCTGGTTCCCATTTGCCAAATTGGCCCATCATTCTAGGCTTATCAGGGTCCTCCTCCTGCAGGAAACCCTCTGCGACCAGCCCAACTTGCTGGGTTTACAGTTGGCTTGTAACCATGGCCCTCCACCCCAGGCCTGCACTGTGGGTGGTTGTTACTTCAGCTCCTGTGACTGGTGGACTGCAGGTTCCCCAAAGCATCGCCATGTACCCCCTGGAGGCACTCAAGACCACTCAATGAACGTTTCTATTTAAATAATTATGTATTTTCATATATATCAGAAAAAATATATAGTCATCAAATCCATGATTTCTTGACAAATATTGCTAAGAATGAGGCTGAAGTAGGCATTTTGATTTTTAAAAGTGAGTCACTGTAAAGAAAAAGATTTTGAACAGTTCAGGTAGTAAAAATCACTGCTTGTCTGCCCTCTAATGGCCCTCTAGGAATCTCTGTGGAGCCTTCCTGGAGAAGCTGTGAAGGCTCCCTGGGCTGGGTTCTGGAGGGAGGGTTGAATCAGCCTGATTGTCCTCTCTTCCCTCCCAGCCTCCCTCCCTTCCCAGGCCCAGTCTGGGTGCCCACAGCCTCACCTTGTAGCAGCTCAGGACCCTTCCAATCAGGACAGGAG